TATAAATAAAAGATATCGTACTCTACTTTTTTTTTTTTTTTAATAACACGAAACTCCTTTTTACGAATTAATAATAACAATCTTGATAACCATCGAAGCTCGAATATATTTAAAATATTTAAATCTTTAAATTTTAACACTTGCCTTTGTGCAATTTAATTTTCCAGAAGAATTGCCTGTAACTGGATGTAACGAAACCAAGGTAAAAAAAAAAAAGAAGAAGAAGTTGCGTTAATCTTCTTATCACTTCTTATCATTATTGACAAATAGTAGCTGTTACGTGAGATGTATCTTTCTAGACATTTATGATTTATTCATATTTTCTGAATATTTTTTTAAGCTCACCTATCTTATGTTTATTGTAAACATAGAGTCGATATTGATTTAAAAAATTGTCTGATTAATTGTTCACGGTCTCGCAATGTCTGTAAATATTTAAATAATAACCGTTTAATAACCAACGACCGAAACGTGAAAATATATAAAATTTTCTCTCGAGATGGTGAAGATTGGAAGAAAGAAATAATCCAGCACGATCCCATTGAAATTACAAATTTCGAGCCGATTTCTACATAAATTTCTGGCAACGATCGCGTGTAAGTAATCGAAGAAACGAAAAAAAATTTTAAAAATATAAAACAGAAAAGAAGATTCGAAAAAGCGTGAAAGTTATATTAGAAGAGGGATCGTATGAATAACAGATGAAACTCTCTCGTGTTGCGATAAAAGCAATAAAACTGTATGATAGAACGTTAGAGAAGCTTCTCTCATAAAACGGATTGGCGAAGGAAAATTGTGCTAACGAGTAACCGTGTTTCGTGTTCCAGATAGAAGGGTATTAAATCCAGTCGTGATTTTCGTCTGAAGTGAAGTTCGCATTGGAACAGTGTGTGTATATACGCAGATGTATAAACGGAATTTACACGGAACGATACAATATTACCTAGGAGACATATTTAACTTATATACACGTCAATCTCCGTGAAAACGCGAGAAATCATTCTATTTTGAAAAGAGCAACGATAAAAAGAAAAAAGAAACCAGTTCCTAAAGTTAATTGTTCACCGACAATAATTGAATTGAAAATATATTTTATGGGTAATTAAGTTACGCAACTGCAATTAATTTTATCGAGTTTCAATGATACTGTTATGATGCTATAATTAATTTAACGATGAATAACATTAGTGTATATTTCAATGTTTTGAAGACGATTCTAATTTATTATGTATCGACGTAGTTTTGTTTTCTTTTTCTTTTTTTTTTTTTTCATTCCTTTCCTTTGCGAGGATGAAAAGAAAGATCGATGCAAATGTACGAAGCGTACGATTAACCGGCCGATGTAATCAGCTTTCGCGTTTAAAAGATTGGAGCATTAACAGGGTTGAGTAACGTTGCTCTTGCGATAGAGACGTCCGACCTAAATCTAGTTTTCACGATCGCTCACTGATAGGCCGGAATTAACCACGCAGTAGTTTAGTTAATGTAAAAAATATGATAATTTTACACTCTATTTGTAAAAATATGAAATTTGTATTTTTTTTTGTATTGAAGAAAAATTATAAATATTCATTAAACGCGATAAGGTTTTCTAATCACCCTTCAGCAGGATTTATCCAACGAGTAAATATTACTCAATCGTTACAAAAATCTCCCCCTCTTCGAATTTCAATTTTAATTCCGGTTTCGTGTTCGCGGTTCACTTTCATTGCCCACCACGACGAGAGATTTCGTTGCTTGATCCCGATCGAATCAAGGACAAATATTTTTCACAGTATTATACAAAAGCTGCGGTCGCGCTGTGATCGAGACTCGACCCGGATCTAGACCCGCCACTACAGCGAACTGTGGTGGTAAACCAGTCTTCGCGGATATGTATACCGTCTAATTGACGTGCTCTGTCTAGCTTTGTATTTGAGTTTTTGATTAGATAATTTTCTCGCGTCTCATTGTGAAAAGAGGGGAAAAAAAAAAATATGGAAATTGATATCTTCGGAGACGTGTGAAGAAACAGACTCGATAACGTTTAAAGTACAATGCGATTTCATTTGTGATCAATTTGATTATAGGATATTCGAACGTTTTTTTCGAATTACGCGAGATTTTTATTTTGATATAATGGATCTGGTTAATCTTTTGCATTGTGGTAGCATTGAGCGAAGCGATACTAGCGCCACGTGACTGGTAACTACAATATCCAATATCTTTATACGTTTGTTTATTTTATCTATTTATGCATTTTTTAAATTGTAGGTTTTTAATAATATTTCAAAACCTTGAAAAAATTCTATTCTCTGTTTTAATGTGGGAACTAAAATAACAAAATATGGAAGTCATAATAAAGTCAAGACCGAGATAAGAAAAAAGTAATGAAAACAACAGTAATAATTACATTAGCGTTATCGATGGTATTAATGCCCAAGATTTTTCTACCGAATTGTATATTATTTATATAAAAAAATGTGTCAATCAAGAAGATAAGGGTTTACTAATTTATAAATTAATTCGTTAATTCGTATTTGAATTAATATCGTTTAAAATTAAATTTTTTAAGAAAGTTTATAGTTGAAATATATTTTATTAGACAAATTTTTCTGGAAAATTTTTCAATCTCTACTTACTCATTTTTTTCTAATAATTCTTTTCTATAAAAATTTCATATCGCATGTTATATTTTTTAATTCAATGCTTTTTTCTCGAAAACATAGTATTTTTATTTAAGTTCAATTTATCTTATTTTAATTTTATTATAAAACGTTGTTCACGATGTTCACATTTTCTTTAGATTATCATCTACCTTTTTTTTTTTTTTTTTTTTTTTTTTTATAGATTCTGAAACAATGCTAACATTTTCTATCATTTCCATAAAGCGTCTTTCCTTTCAATAGTTTTCGCGATTTTGGATTATATTCGAAAGATAAAATATATTTGACAATAATTATTCTTCAAAATCATAGAAAAAAGATCTAAAATTATTTTTTTTTTAAAAATAATTAATAAATAATCTTTACAAATTTATTTCGATTAAAAATTTAATACTTAGAAGAGAAAACAATTTAATTTCAATATATGTACTTGCAAAATCTCGAAATAATTAATTATTAACAAGTAATTCATTGACCTATCTACTTAACAATCGATCGATATCGATTCCACGAAGAACGTATCCGAGCAAGGATCGTCCCAAAAATGGTCATCACGTACTGAATTACTTAGAATATTTTAACCATTATGGTGATCAATCGAAAATAAATCAACCCTTAAGTCATTTCCTTATATAACTTGCCTTCAATCGATTCAATCTCAGCAAAGAACTTTCCGATCATTACTTTTTCGTATATAATTTCTATATAAAGATTGTTCTTTCTTTGCTCTTCCTCTTTGAGCAAAAAAAAAAAAAAAAAAAAAAAGTTAAGAGTTACAGATCCTCAATTATTATTAATTATAATCTACCCTCGTTTAATTGTTGAAACAGCAGGAAACGAGTGAAAGTTGACTAATGAATTTTTTATACGGAAGTATGTATGTCAGCTTCTATAATCAAATAGAAATCAATAGATATTATACGAAATATTTTCTACACACGATACTTATTAGATTGTTAATCTTTGTGACAGTGATTGCTTAATAACGATATTAGATGGATTATGGAAATGTCAATAGAAAGTAATTATTTAATGATTATTTTAAAACGATAATTCGACATCTTATCTTAGATATAATTGTCATTTAGATTCCATAGATTATTTTTCTTTTTTCTTTTTCTTTTTTTTTTTGTTTAATCGTTTCTAATGTTTTAATGTTCTCTTCTGAGAATGATTATATTTTTAGATATATATATATATATACACATCACATTAAATATTTTAACGATAAATATATCTATAAATAATTATTTTCTTTTATCATTAAGATTTATGAGATCAAAACTTGAAAATGATCCAAGATTTCAACACAATTATTGATTTTCAATAAATAAACTTCAATAAAAATGAGGATGCTTGTCGATTTCCATTTTTTCTTAAAAAAATGTTTATCTATTGTAACTTTATCTCACGTTTAATTTAAAATCTTTAATTTTTATCTTATTTATCGTTATCTTGTATTTATTTCAAAACTTTTAAGTTCTCTTCAACAAGTTCAAACGATCTTTAGCAAAATATTCATCAATATAAACTATTACAAAAACATTACTTCCTTTTTTTCTTCTTCTTTAATTACCATTTATTAAGAATCTGAAAATCGATCACGAAATCGATCATCACACGAACAATATTTATAAAAAGAAGAATCTAAATCTAATTCAATATCCTTTTTCCATCAATTATCTTCGAAAATTGAACCCAACCTCTTCGAAACAGCGACCAATCAATAATAAAAACCAACCTCAGAGAGATCTATCAGAATCCAATCTCATCCAACCTACACATCTATTCAACCTATTCTCGCGACCTCTCCAAAAAAGGGCCTCTGAAGCCATTAATCTTTTGCATACTAAATATATTCTAGACACGATCGTTTCCTATAGAAGACGTGCGATTTCCTATGACCATCCAAATATGGTACGTCATCATTCAATTAACTGATGCAACGATTTTTTCACGTACTACGGCGCACTGTGCTTTTATTTAAAAAGTAACAACAAAGTTACAATAAAAGAGAAGTCGAAAAGATTTTTCAAAAATGCTATTGAACAAAATTATTATAAATGTTTAATATATGTGATTTCAAATTTTTAAACTCGATTTTTTTCGAAAATTTCGAATCGATCCTTCCAGTAATATTCCACGAATATATAAAATTAATAAACTCAAAATGTGAAATTTTTGCAATTATCTTAACAATTCTTGTCGAAAGTTCGAACAAATCGACCCTTCCACTAATATTCCAATATATAAAAATAAAATTCAAGATGTGAAATTTCTATTAATTATCTTTAACAACAGCTGTGGCGAAAAATTCAAAATTTCGTTAAAAAGGAGAGATCCTCTCAGGAATACCTTCGCGTATTTGTCGCCTTCTGAGCGGAGGAGGGGCGCCGGTTCTTCGTCTCCTGGCGTAGGTGTGAACCGGTACGATCAGCCTCGGCCTCGGTATGAGAAATCCACCTTTGTTATTTCCAGGCTGGTTGAGTTCGCTCGATTCGCTGTCACTGGTCCCAGTGCTGCTCGATCTCCTCGACTCCGACTCCTCTCTCGCGGATGATCCAACGCGGCTATCCCCAAGAACACCCTCGAGCTGGGAGATCACCTCGGCGTAAGGTTGCCTGTATTCGTCCTCCCTCGACGGAGGCTTGCTTCTTCCATTGCCGGTCCAGTTCACGCCACACTCTCGCCAACTGGCCTCGTAGAGAAGCTCCATGGCCCTCCCTCGAGTCGCGTCAGGGTCCAACAGTAATTCTGGATCCTCCAACACTGCTCTGCCGGGGTAACTTCTCACTTTCATGGCTTGGATTCGTTTCACGATTCTTTTTTTTTTTTTTAAGTAAAGAATCTTTAAGAAGAATCCTCGTCGTCTACTTTTCGAGCAAAAATGTTCGACTCGTAAAAGAGCTTCTTTTTCCTTTCTTTCTTAAACGAAGAATACTTATGAAAAGTTGATATATATTTGTTTTACGGTAGATTCCTAGTTTATTCTCTACTTAGAATCCTTAAGATCTCGTCTATTTTAGAGACTATCTTGTTAATTTTACGATACGGATGGATTTTTCTTTTTAGATAAAAGATCCTTGACGACAGATTGAAGAACAAGGATGAAGCAGAAGTGGTGTAGAGCGTTTTGTTAGTTTTAAATGAATTCTTGTTCAGTGAAATCAGATAGTAATGGGATTTCTCTTTCTTTCTTCGAACACAAGAGTAAAACCTGTTTATTACTTCTCTCTCTCTCTCTCTCTCTCTCTTTCGAGATTTTTATTATTTGTTCGTTTAAATCAGATAAATCAGATATAACATAGATACCGTCAGACGACCGTTGCTCCGGGTCGTTGGTTAGAAAGGTTTGGTCCAGTGAGACGACCTTGGCTATGAGTCACTGCGCTGGACATTTTCCAGCATCGACTTGCACTTTTCAGTCGAGAATACAAACTCGTATCGACATCGATCGAATCGCTAATTATCACTACAAAATCAGTTCTTTCATATTTCGATCGGCAAATTATCAATCAAGAGATGGTTCTACGTTAACTCGATTTCGCTCAAATCGGGTTAGACGTTTATCAGTGAAAATTCGCCTCGATTTCTCGAAATCAAATTTTGTCTCAGTTGTCAGATAAATCAGAAAGAAATTGGGGACGAACGTATCTGGCGTTTATCCAGATTGTAAGATCGATGAACGCCTCCCTCGATCCTTCTGCCCTCTTGTTTGACGTTCGCGTCACCTCGCCGAGTCAAAACTTCCGAGCTCTTTAAATCTGACTGCGCGTCCCAGTCGCATAAATCACACGGGTGAGCCACGTGTCTCTGAATCTCGGCTGTGGTACGGTTTCCAAACGAATCGAGGAGTTCACCGTCCTTCCAAGGGTTCCAACGACTCCTCGCCGGTTCATGCTTCACGGCGACGCTCAAATGACAGCCGACAGTCGGCGGAAAATTGCGAGTTGCGAGATTTTCGAGCGGAATAATTGCAGGCTGGCGCGGCGCGGAACAACGATGCAATCTATTTTTAGTCTCCGGCTCGATTTCTTCCGATCGCGTCCATCGATTCCACCACGACTTTGCCTCTCTCTTTTACACCATATCCTCTTCCATATCTTCCATCCCTCCTCTCATTTCCATCCTGATCGTGTTTCGAAATCACTTTTCATCGCGGATAAATCCTTAATCCGTCGATTCGTTTTTCACGTTTCGAAGAAAAGGGGTGGGATTGAACACGGGGAGAGATGATCGTCCCTCGAGGGGACGGGTAGGATGGTGAGGGTTTTCGTCAGTGAGAAGTTTCACTCGCGCGCGAGAATCGTTGGGGAAATTTTTGGACCGAGGGATTGGAGCGTGGACGAAACGGTGCCCTCGCACAAAGGAGGATCCTGACGCGAACGAGGACACTGGCAGGACCACTCCTTCGAGACTGACGCTCACTGACAGCGTTCACGACTGGTGAAATGTACGCCCGCAAAGAGCGTGCACACGAGAAACTCCCTTCCTCTCCGACTCTCGACCGCCCCACCACGCGCGCTGCTCGCGAGAGAAAGGGCAGTGGCTCTCAACCGAGCATGCCTGCTCCCGGTGCAACCACTCCCACGTATGTACCGGGTGACTCCAGAATGGTGCAACGCGAATTTTTATTATTTTTAGGAATTCTGGCATCCGGGTATACTTTAAAGATTCTTTTCTCATTCTCTTACGAGATATTTCGTGTTATATCTCGTGTTGTATTTATACGATCGATTAAGTTTATTCAATCGAGTAAACGTTAATATTTGTCCTGCAAGAATATTTATCGGATGTTGTAATCTATGAAATAGATTGACGAATTGTTTTTTTTTAAAGATAATCACTTCTGTGAATAATTAATAACGAAGTTATTTGTATTCTTGTGACGATATTTGTGAATAGTTATTAATTCTGTCGAGAAAGATATTTTTTTCAAGAAATTCTATTTTCTTGATTCATTGCATGTATACTTGGGAATCAGATTGTACAAATCAATAAGGGATTAATGATAAGAGTATATAGAGAAGAAGAAGTACACCAGATACATGAGATATGTTTTATCTGAATTTGTTACCCTTTGTAAATCACAGTGAAATAATATACCCTAATTGTGAGAATAAGATCAATAAGATATACAGAGGATGTTTGTCAGATATAGTGGGAACACTACAAGCAAAAGTGGAGCAATCTTGATTGAAAATGATTTCTCGTTCGATTTGTATTTTATTTTATTCCTTTATTCCTTCCTTTATTCCTTCCATTATTGTCATTATTTTCTATTTGTGGAATCTTTTACATTTGACTTTTTCGATCAAGTTTCTTTCTAACAACTCCAATATCAAAATATCCGTCTTCTTTTTATTCATTCTGCTCTTTATTTGAGTACCAATTTAAGATAAAATTAAAATCTTTTTAATATAAAATATTTTGATCTATAAAATACACGTACATTTTTTAAATAAAAATACGAGAAAAAAATGTTACAAAAGAAAATGTAATGTTAATGAAAGTTATCGTAGATAATTTAATGCAATTATTTTGATACATTTTATGACACGGAGCAATCTTATAAATAATATTATATCGAAGCATTAATTGCTATGCTATTACAATACGCGAACTTCCGAGAGAAAGGCCATTGGTTCTCATTCTTCCTGATTAGAATAGATAAGGATTTATTTCGAGGATTTATGTCTATTCACATGTCTCTATTTATGTAATGAACACGACATTCAGTTATTCTGATAAGTGTAATAATTATTATAATGAATCATATCACTTTGCTAAACGGGATATAAATTTACTAGCATTGCTGTTAAATAATTTATTTTAACATTTCTATGTATATAATTATAATATGAATAATCACGTACGGTATAATAACGTAGATATCAATTATTTAATATATTAAATTTAATCTATCCTATATATCACAATTATCAAAATATTGATTCAAGAAGAAAATACTTGGAAGTTAAATTGATCATTTCAAAGAAATCATTCATGTGTTTAATTAAAGAATCATAAGTTATTTCAGTCTTCTTTCAGTTAACAAATTATCTTCTGTATGTGTATATTACTATAAATAAAAATTCCTGCACTGTAAACTTTTTATATTTTCTTCTTTTTTTTATTTACATTTTCGTATCAATAAATTTTTTTTCTCGCTGTTGAATGATAATGTTTGTACAATAATTTGCGTAATCGCATTTCGACGTTAGCTGTTACACGTTTACACAGTTGGCTTATAACAACGTGGCCATTACAACGTAAAAATTCACGTTATTACGTTACACGTTGACCCATTACGTTCGAATTTAATTGTAGTATCGTTGCGCAAAACGTCTGAATGCTTTCAACCGGTACCGGAAGTAAAAGGAAATTCGTCGAGAATGAAACTCTATATGACTGTACATATAAAATATTCGTGTGAAATTTCTTGCCAATAAAGTATATTATAACCATATTGGAAGTTTATATAATATATGTATATGAAAACAAAAACTTTATTGACGTAATATGCATTAATAATATTATATTTTAATTAAATACGATAATACAAGAGAAGAAAATTACATGATATATAAATTCGTTCAATGATATATAATGATAAAGGCAGCAAATGTAAATATAATATGAAAACAAAAATATATTAAAAATAATGAGATATTAAGATGATAAATGTTATATAATACACAGTATGTTAATAATAAATATTCGTGGAATATTTCTCGAGGAGTGATTCTAGAGGCGAAAAAAAAAAAAACAACGAAAGTTGATATACAAAAATTTTGCTCGAGGCTTATTTATTAAGTTGCGTGTATTAATTAAAGTTTGCTTTCGGTGAAGAGAGATAGCGATAGAATGAGACAGCTTCATCTTTGTTACGCTATCGCGCCACACCGCGGCGCACCGTGTCATTCTATCTCCGTCTCACTTCATCTAACTTTTAATCTAAATCTAAACATATATCTTTCCATTGCGAAATGTTTAAACGTTTTCTTTTCCTTTTTTTTTTATAAAATGAAATATAACAAAATCAATTGTTAAATTTTTACCCGTCTTTCTTGTTCACCGACAATATTAAAAATTTGTCTTCCCTTTATGCAAGAATTAAATTCCAGAAGCAAGTTTTGAGAATTGGAAAATATCAGATGGATGTTTTGGATCGATTTTGAGAGAGATATGGAGCGAAATTTAGTTAAATACGAGCTTGATTCTTATCGTTTCGAAAGAATGCGTGGTATTTTCAACAACATTTTATTTATAACTACCGCTACGGGAACCGGTTTTTCGGAAGAAAAGGCAAAGCTTGAATCATTCGATTCCTGTAAAGAACGATGAATCATACGGTGCATTTGTCCGCGGATTCAAATTGAACTTATTGGGAATTTCTCTCCGATCAAAATGATTTCAATATTATTTTTAAATAGCTGTGTCAAAAGTTGAATAACTTTTAGACTTTTCTTCGATCATTGAGTTAATTATTTTCTTTACCATCGGAGTGAATGGAAAAATTTTAGGCGCAAAATTTAAGTTTAATTTCAATTTCTAAAAAATATGAACTCAATATACTCTGCTTTATTGGATATCTGAAGATTCTAAAGAAACATTAACACTTTTCACCATTTCAGCACCGAATAATAGAAATCAAATCAATTTAATTTAATTATAATTTATTCATATTCATGTATCCATATTAATAATTTTTAGGAATCTCGATAAATCTGACAATCATAAAGGATAACTAAATTAACAACGAAAATTGCAAATATTATCGATTTATATTAAAG